TAAAGTTAGACTTGTGTTCATGGAAATGTATATATCAGCTGTGTTTGCTATGAAAATATTTAGATTAATTAAGATCTTTAGTAATTCAATAAAATGTGGGGGAAAAACATTATAGAAAGCAAACATAGATACCAGAGACAGTGTGGGAGGAGAGTGGGAGATTGCGGAGGGTAAGAGATAGGGAATCAAGGATGGGGGGGAGCAAAACATACGGAAAACAAGAAATGGAATTATTTGCTGACAATAACATGTTTGTTAATGTGCTTGATTGAGACAATATACAGTGTACTCTGGATGGAAAATCTCATTTTGTATGCTGTAATGATGTACAGTGAATGAATGTAAATAAATAAATTTAAATAAAAATAAAATAAAATAAAATTTCTTTGTATATTTAAGTAGGATTCTATTTCTAGTCTAGCAATTAAATTCATATCAATAATTTGATTATATCGTCAATCCTCTTGTTATCTTTTTCTCTTTGATCTATTGTTATTTGTATGCATTTACCCCATCTATTACCTATGAATAATAAACATTTTAATTTTTTCATTCTCTTTTCCTTCTCTTATTATTGTTATTTTTTAAAGACAGGTCTCACCACATTGTGATCCTCCTGTGCCACCTCCCAGCTGGTACTACAGGTATGTGCTACCATGCCAAGTTCTTTTTTTTTTTTTTTTTGAGGGGTTTTTGCTATAGGGTGTATGTGCTCGCCAGAGAGACAGAGAGGGACAGAGAGACAGCAAGCGAAAAAACAAAACCCCAGGGGGGACGGCCACGCTGCAATCCCTTGTCCTCCATTCTCCTCTTGGGATCTTGGGCATGCACGCACACGCACCAGCCTTGATTTTAAGCCATTGGTCCAGGACTCGAACCACGGTAGACTACATGGGAGTCCAGCAACATAGCCATCATGCTAACTGCTGGTCCCGCATGCCCAGTTCTTTTTTAGGCAAGGTCTCACCATGTTTCCCAGGTCAGACTAGAGCTTGCGATCCTCCTGTCTCAGCCCCAAAAGTCACTGGAATTCCAAGTACAGTGGCATCACTGGATTCAGTCTTTAGGTTGGACAGGGATCAAACCTGGGCTCCCCATGTGTTCCCAGCCCACAGAACGCAACCTAGGAATAACGTGTGCCACCATGACTGAACCTCCTCCCATTCTTCTAGTTGTCATCTTTGCACTCTGTCAGAATTCACAGTGTTTCTTATACATTGTTAAACAAGACCACCTTCTTGTTCTGGTCTTAGCCCTGCAACTGAGCATAAGAAATACTCAGTAACTGTCAATCTGCTGAAATTTCCCCAGTCATTTCTTGGTTGGATACAGTTCATACATCAGTAATGTAACTACTGAAACAGTATGCTTTAAGGCTCTTGCCATGCAATTTGTATTCTTTATTTCACAGAAACGTCGTAAGTGCTTCTGTTTTTAATGTTGCCCTACTGCTATTCTTATCACCTTTTTAAAAATTTATTTATTTATTTATTATTTATTTATAATTTGCTGTGGGTGTGTATGCTTGCTGAGAAAGAGAGAGGGAAAGGGAGAAATCACTTACCCAGCGGATAGCCATGCCATCTTTTCCATTTTTACTCTTGGGATTTTTAGGCACACACACGCACATGTACCCACTGTGTTTTTCTAAGCCACTGGGTCTGGGACTAAAACTATGCCTTGGGCCATGTGGCATCCAGCTGCTTTAACCGTCAAGCCACCAGCTGGCCCTGGTTCTTTTAAATCTTGACACCACTGTGTGAGGAAGTGACCTAGCCTACTGCTTAATGGGAGATAACGTGAACAGAGAGGTGCTCCCCCCCAACGGAGGGAGGCCTCCTCTAATCCAGCTCAACTACTGGCCACATGTATGTATGTTGGAGCCAGTCTGTATCATACAGACCCAGCAGTCTTCAGATGACTGTAGACAATGAAAGAGCCCAGTAGACAACAGTTTTGGCAATTCAAACTGTTTTCTCAAATGAACCAGAGAACCATAAGCTAAATAAAACAATTCTTTTAAAATTATTTTCTTGATTGCCAGAGGGTGTGTGCATTTGCCAGATAGAAACAAAGAGATGGGGGGGGAGCGGGTGGAAGGGGAGCACCCTCCAATGTGGCGTGATCACAATGCAATCCTGTTTCCATTTATCCATCCTATTAGGATTTGGGGCAAACACACTCATACAATTAGCATGTTTTTGAAGCTTCCTGGGCCAGGATGCTAAGTGCAATCCACCACATGAGATCTGGCTCCTTTAATCACTGGACTACAGGAATGACCACAAAACAGTTCTTTTTTTTTTTTTTAGGACTTTTTGCCATAGGGTGTGGGCACTCATTGGATAGAGAGACAGAGAAAGAGACAGATAGACAGAGACAGTAAGAGGGAAAGTGAGAAATCACCTGCAGAGGGAATGGCCACACCACAATCCCATCTCCTCTGCTCTCATCTTGGGATCCTAGGTACACACACGCACAACTGACATGAGTTTCAAGCCATGGGGTTCAGGACTCAAATTGCTGTCAGCCATGTGGAAGTCCAGAATGTAACCACTGTGCCATCTGCTGCCCGCACCCCCCCCCAATAGTTCTTTTAAGCCACTAAGCAAAAGGTGATACATCCCTCCATCCTGTATTATTTTATATTAGCCAATATTTTTAAAATTTTATTTTTCTCTTTTATTGGCATGCCACTAACAATTTTGAGTTTACCCTAGAAATTACAAATGATAACTTTTGGATATGGGCAGTCACTTGAAATGGCTACTTTTACCACATGCCAGGTAATATGAAAATAGAGCAGTTTAGGATTGGCAGGTGGCATAGTGTAACCACTATGGACTCCCATAGTTGATCACAGTTTGAGTCCTGGACCTTATGGCCTGAACCTCACACTAAGAGTGTGTGTGTGTGTGTGCGTGTGTGTGTGTGTGTATGTGTGCGTCTGTACCCAGAATTCTGAGAAGAGAAAGAAGGAGAAGGGATTGAGAAGAGTCTGGTTTGCCAGAGTAGTTTTGTTAATAAAGTGTTACTGGAACACAGCTGGCATAGTTTAAGTACATCTCTGCTGCCCCCACCCCCAAACTCAGGTGTTGCCATTGTGATGTAGTGGGACCTTTACAGCTGATTAGGCCATGGACTCCACCTGAATGAGATTAAGGACCTTATGAAAGAGGCCGCGTTCACTTTCCCTTCATGTTATGCCACATGGGGTTCCAGCATGCCTTCTCTCCCCCGACACAGCCCTCACCGGACAACTGAGCCTGCCAGCGCCTGGACCATGGGTTTCCCAGCCTTCAGAACTGTAAGAAACTAAGTTTCCGTTTATTATATTAATAATTGACACAGTTCAGGCATTTTGTAGCCACATGAATGAGCGAAGAAGACAGCCATGCCTGTTCATTTCTGTGTTGTCTGTGGTGCTTTCGCACTGAAGGGTCGGTGGTTGAGCAGTTGTGAGTCTGCAAAGTCTGAAATATTTGCTATTGCTCTTGGAAAAAAAAGTAAAAAAAAAAAAAAAAAAAAAAGAAAAAGAAACTGCCGACCCCACTTTAGGTAGTGTATGGGCTTTTATATTTAGCCATATGTTTACATTTCTGAGGCTTTTCTGCACTTTTGGTTTTTGTTTGATAGAGTTGTAGTTCGCCTCCATCTTTCATTGATATTTTTATGCTATGTTGGTATTTTCCTTTTATTTTGAAATTGTCATTTTATGGTTTTTGCGTTTCCATAATTTGTGTTGAGAAGCAGTAATTATTATCATGGTTCCCTGAAGGTAATGTGTTTTTCTGTTTCTAATGCTGTTTTAAGGATGTTTCTCCTTATATTTGGTTTTCAGCAGTTTTATTGTGCCATGCCCAGGTGTGGTGTTCTTTATAGTTATCATGCTGTGTTTTACTGAGCTTTTGCAACTTATGCTGCCAACTTTTAAAATATCCTGAATAGTCACAACTATTATTTTCAAGTATCTATTTTATTTTTCTTTTTGGGGGGATTTTAATTACACATGTGTTTGACCATTTTGCTGTACCCCATATCTCTCTTACTCTTTCTCCACATTTTCTCCGTTTTCCTCCAATGAACTTCACTTTGGGATATTTCTGTGGACCTACCATTGAGTTCATTGTGATTCATTGCATATATAGTAATAGTAAGTCTTATCATATTCTTACACTATAGGTGTTGTTTTTGCTATTCTCTTTAGAATCTGCCATTGTATACTTACCCTTTTGAAGTTGACCAACCTGAAGGGAATCTTTACTTATATTTTTATTACTCCTGTGTGCCATTTCCCCACTATTATCACATCTCCCCAGATGCCAGTCACTTTGGCTCTCGTAATTCTAACCTGTTTTCTCCACCCAGGATGACTAATTGCCTTCATGTTCAATCCCCCTTGCTTGGTTTAAAATAATGGCCTCAGAGAAAACTATGATTCCCTTCTTTTGAGAATTTATAACCTTTAATTGCTGGCATTCCAATACCCTCAGTCATTTTAGGATGTTCTGGCTTTTAATTTTGTTCACAACGGGGTGATAACTTTGTATTAACTGTTTTGCTGAAATCGGACATAGTCTACATCTAGGTCTAAGCCTCTCAGAAGTTCAACAGTAGGTGGTAGTGATGGAGTTGAGTGATAGGACTCCATTCTTATGGCTAAACTGGTAAGTACAATGACAAGATACAGTATCGAACACAAAAAGCAGATATTTCTAGGTACATAAGCAAAACCGTAATTCATCATTGGAAGAAATACCAAAAATGACTCCGTTTTTGGAACTCTCTATGGGACAGGGTTTTGATACCAGGAATAAGATTGAAATTTGATTTTCTAACTTGAGATCAGTAGTGTGTTACCAGCTAGAGAAAGTTGATTGTGGGTGAGTCATGTATTTAGCTAAGGCTTTCAAATTCCTAATAGATGCAAGGATGATCCTAAGGCCTGGCATAGTGTTTTTTCCACAAGAGGATCAATTGGCATCAGCTCTGAATGAAAAATGAGGTGTGGTCTTGGAAAATTATAGATTGGGTTTTAGTTGATGACAGTAGGTAATCTGACTTTATTAAAAGAGATTTGAATAATCCTAGCTTGTAGTGACAGACGACCATTTTGCTGAACTGGAATTTACAATAGAAAGTAGTCAAGGAGAATTCCCCTGATCCCTCACATCAAAGATTCACTCCAGTTAGAGAAGGGGAACCTCTAAGATTGAAGTGTCCTGATTAACATAATGCTTATTAATTATAGACTTCAAAAAGCTGCTATTTTCAAAGTTTTGAAGCACTGCTGATGACCTTAATATGTCTTATTATGCACATTATTCCTCACCTTGCCCCTGGGGAAGAATACATTTTAACTCTGATCTGCTAGCTAAAAGTATGAAAGAAATGAGCATTTTAAACCAATGGTTCCTAGGCCATGTTGTGTTTTTTTGTTTGTTTGCTTTTGTTTGTTTTTGAGGGGGAGGAGGCATATGTGACAGAAACAAAATAATAAGTTTCCATGACTTCCTAGCCCCCTCCATGTAAATGAGGGCTCATAAACTCTCTGTGGTATGTCCTACCTATTCTGTTTTACTGTGAACAGTGGTTAAAAAATGAGGGGTGCCCCATGGGGGGTTGTGATTTTTCACTTTCTCTCTCTGTCTGTCTCTCTGGTGAGTGCACATGCCCTGTAGCAAAAATCTCCCCTAAAAACAAACAAACAAAAATGTGTAAATCAGGGACAGAGTTTAA